GCCACTAAGTTGCTTCATTTCTATCAATTTATTTTCAAGGAAAGCTTGCCCTCAGATCATCACTATAGATTTTCTAAGTTCTCAAAACTAACAGATAAAATGCAAATTATTTCATCAGATTGAAAATTAGATCATATTATTACCATTAATTTAGTCGAGGATCTTCAAATGGTATTGCAGGTATGAAAATTCAAATTTAGCCACCTGACCCATGGACTAATCTTCTAGTGCTATTCCAAACCAACTGACTTTCTATTCTCAGGGTGCCCCATACTGAAGATGTATCAGATTCTGTGAGGCAACTCCCAATAGATGGGCTTTTTCCCCTAACAGTTCTTTTTCATATAATTGAGTACTAATTGTGAAAAGTTGTTGGCTATTTCTAGCATTCCCTTTTTATTTAACTTTGCTCTTTATACTGTTACTTTGTTTGTTGGAAAACTTAATGAATTTAAAAAATATACATTTATTAAAATCAGATTTTTGATACTAATATTTCTGCATTCATGAGAATGAAATTGAATACAATACTTTATAGATCTGTTATTTCTGCTATATTCTTTATTTGACGGGTTATATAACCATAAGGTAAATTATAAATCTTCTCTCCTTTCTCTGGGCTTTTGCATCCTGGGACTTAGAAGCGATGAGTTTAAGATTTGGGGATTTTCTTTTACCTCAACAGCTGATGATGGAATACTGACTCATAATCTCTCTTGCTATTCTTATCAATAATCAGGATAAATACAAAATGTTTCTAGCAGTATAGTAACTACCAAAATAAATTTTACATTTTGTATAATACAGACTAATAACGCCAGTCCGCAGTGATGAAAATTTTTAGTTAAACGTGAAATTAATCATATTAATCTGACCTCATACTTAACACCTAGATCTAAATGCAAAATGCCATGCTTATTTATTTATTTTTTGATTTATACTTGAAACCCTTGTTCCAGAATAGCATGAAATGCAGCTATATTTATTCTTGAATAACTTACTTAAACAATATTTAATTTTACTTTTTCCATTATTTATCTCTCCTTCTCCTCTCTGGGCTGCTCAGTTAAAATTAATTTGCATTTCAGACCTCAGGATTTTATATTGCTATTAGAGTTGTGAAATGTTTTTACTCAGCACAACTAAAAACTGATGTTTTACCTCCCACTAATGGACCTTTAATTAGGCACAGTAATGAACCACTGTCATTCCTTCATTTATAGAGAGAAGATTTTGTATATGCAAGATACAATTCTGACAGAACACCAGGTCCACTGAACCTTGCCGACTCACATCTAATAGATCCTAAATTTATTACGCTTTTGTCAGCTGTTGGATTTGTCATTTTAATGACACTGCCCACAGAATTACTATGCTGCCAAAGAACGGTATCACCATACTTCAGGAATGTTTGCTGACATCTTGATCAACAACTCCTGGGGTCCAATTTTGACTATAATATCACTACTCCAAGACCTTGAAAGAGTTAGTTAACCTCTGTCTAAGAATTAATTGGTTAATTTTAGTAAGTGCTTTGCAGTAAAAGGTGGGAAGAGCTCTAACTGCTAATAGTGATAATAAAATTATAATGCAGTCTTTTATAAAGCATCAGGCTACCTCAGACTGTGATTCTATTAAGTTGCCAATTAAAATATAAGCTAACTAGACTTATTCTTTGGAAGAATAATTCTTTGGAAGAATAAGAATAAGATTTATTCTTTGGAAGAATCCAAATTGCTATAATGGTGGCCACATGATTTTTTTTAAACTTAGTTCAAAATGAATCTAAAGTGCTGATAATTCAATTAAAAAATAAAAACAGAGAAATTAAAAAAAAAGAATGCTGTTTTATGATAATGAACCAATTGGGAAGCAAGAGATGGAAGGAGCAAATACTGGTCCTAGATTAACCACACATTGATACCAGATGGCTGGACACTGATTAAATGTAGTTTTCATATATTAACTTGATTGTTCTTTTGTTAACTTTTCTTCAAACCACTTTCATTCATTTATTTATCTGTGCTATTATTGGTTCATATGTTTATTTGACAAATGCCATCATTGGATGTAGTTGCAAAGAGATCCCTGACAAATAGGAGGCTAATAATTAACAAATTGTACATAATTAACAAAAATGCTAGGTAAAAGTGATCAGAGTAAGAAGAGAGGTATAGAAATGGTGACTTGGAAATTCAGAGGAGGGAGAGATTAATTCAACCTGAGAGAGGATTTGAACAATTTCAAAAAGGAAGTAATGTTTAAGCTGGATGTAATCACAATGCCAGGGAAGTTGGCATTTATATGGAGAAGTGTGATCAGTGTGGTTTCACTAAAATATAAGAAAGGATGCAAATTTAGGATGAATAGTAGCGAAGGTCTTCATTATGTGGGATAGCAGATATGTTGGAAAGGCAATGTGAAAAGGGGCATTGGCTTAGAGGAATCTGTGTATGTCAAGAAGACGCTAGCCTAATATGAGAAGAATGAACTCAGAAAAGGAAACAATTTACAATCAAATCCCTTTTCTTGCTGCAGCAGAAGTGGCCCCACTGTAACATCAGAGGCAACACATTTAGTATGATGTTTGATTCTCAAATAAGCCAGTCCATACAGCTTGATTCTGTGCTGTTCCATGTACTTCCTACAATCACCAGAGACTTGGGCTGCTCTCTGCGAGGTCCTCAATAATATCAAACAATCTAAGGACCAAAATGTTAAGAAACTTTTAAGGGTGTGAACCCTGAAGTTGGATTTCCTGGATTTGAATTGTAGCTGTCACGATTATTAACTAGTTGATATTCAGAACACTCTTTATACCTCTTCATTATCCTCTTCTATAAATGAGAATGAAAACAGTACAGTACCTAGTTCATTAGCAGGATTAGATGAATTAGTAGAATTAATGTAAAAATTTAAAAATAAAGTAATTACAATAGTCCCTGGATGTAGAAAGTTCTCAATAAATATAATTTAGATAGAAAGCAACTTTTATTGTGAATAAAATGTATTACTATCACTCCTATTTTGAGGATAGCTAATAAAGCAAAGAGAGGAAGTGTGGAGATCAGTTAGTAATAATCTAGGCAAGAAATGCTGCTAGCTTGGATGAGGATCGTAAGAATGGAGGTGGTGACAGGTATTTAGATTCTGAATATATTTTAGAGGCAAAACTGCGAACGAAAACAAGGTATAACAGAAAGGGAGGAGTCATGAAAGATTTCAAGTTATTCTGGCTTGAGCAATGAGTGTTTCCCTTTAAAGAGATAGAAAAGACTATGGTAGAAGAATTTAGGGGTGAGAAAATCAGATTAATTTAGATTTAAGTCAAGCTGTCAAATAGACAATTAGGCATAAAAATCTGGAATTCAGAAAACAGGTTCAGCTGGAGATATAAATATAGAATTATTAATATTTGGATGGCATTAAAAACCATGCAATTGATTGAAATAATCTAGACAATGAATCTCAGCATTGGTCACATATATGAAATATGGGGAAGCTTTAAATAATACAGAAGCCTCAACACAGCCTAGTAAATCAAAATCTTTGTAGATGATGTTTTCGACACTGTATTTTATAAAAGCTGCTGAGCTCTTCTTAATGTGTGGAGTTTTTCAGGAATCACTGACTTAAGAAGTGAATATTATAGAGAAGAAAAGAAGTATGAGGACAGAGTTGTCACTCACTCCAGTGTTTAAAACTGGAAATAAAGATTTTATTTTCAGGGAGATAAAAAGGAACCAGCAAGGGACCCTGAGAAGAAGCAACCAGTAAAATGAGAATAAAAACTAGAGAGAGTGGTACCCATAAAGACAAGTGATTAATATACTTTAAGAAGGAAAGAGTGATTAATTGCTGATTGTAGAAATAAAATACGAATTAAGAATTGATCATTGGATATAGCAACAAGGAGGACATAAACAAAATTAATCAACTTGACTTTCACAAAAGATGTTTCAGCAGAACAGTGAAGACAAAAACTTGACAGAGGTAGAAAAATAAGAATAATAAAGTAGAAATAAAAAAAAAATAAGGGAAAAAAGAAAAATAGAAATAGAGGAATTGTAGAAAATAACAACACTTTAAAGTAATGGTAATGTTTAAAAAAGAGAAAGAGAAGGAGAGAGAGCAGGGAAGTAAGGTTGTGTGGGTACAAGGAAAGGTTTTTCCAGAAAGAACTTGGTAGAGCAGGAAATATTCATGAGGCAGGAGAAAGAGGGGTCAGCTGCAGGATGTATGTCTATGAATAGCTAAGAAGGTTCAGTGCATGAGTGGACGGGATAGAATTCGATGTAGCGTGGGGTTCCTAGTAATAAGAAGGAAGACATCTACAAGATATAGGATAAAGTAGCTTGGGAGATGTGGTAGTGAGAGTTTGTGACAGCCATCTTAAGATGGCTTCTGTTTGTATCAGTTAAATAGGAAGCAAGTTTCTCAATTAAGAGTGAAGTTGGGGAGCCGGTATTGAAGTTTTGAGGAGACAGAAGAATGTGACACAGAAATCTAGGAGAATAGTAGAGTCAATGTATTAGTAAAACACATTAGAAGCCATAGTAAATGCCCATTGAGATTAGTGATAAAATGTCACAGAAGACCAGCCAGCATGACTGTGTGACTTTCTTCAGCTGTACTCAGCTATGGAGTGCCAATTCAGGAGAGATGGAGAATTGGACACAACCATGGTCATGGTTTGCCAGGAAAGTACAATAGGTGGGAGGAGGGAGCAAGGTTGTTGATGGTATAGACAAGAAAATTGTTATAATAGGCCAAGGAATCTATGCTGCGGGAGGAAGAGAAAGAAAATCTTTAAAATAAGAGCAGGATGAAGAATAATGTAAATAATTGTTGGAACTGGAGTGACAGAGGGACTGAACCTCAGAGATAGGGGGTGGCTGAAATTAAGATAATGGAGGGAATATAGACAAAGGTAATAAGATTATTTAATGTAAACATCAAGCATGCTGATGAGCTGGATTCTGGATGTTGCTTTTACTTACAGTACTGACATCTGTCTCCAGTGTATTCAGGGTGGCAGTGGCAGTGAGGCTGGTTCCCAGCAGTTACAGTGCAGGTCCCTCCATTCTGACAAAAATCCTCACAGACGGTCTTACCACAGTTTGGTCCAGTGAATCCCAGTGCACATCTGCAGGTTGGTCTCCCTATTGGAAGTAATAATAATAATATTATAAAAATCAAATTATTAGACTGGAATGGTTTATGTCACTGGATAGGAATTGGAAAACCAGGTTTCTGGTCAAGGTCTGTCCACTTTTTATTCTGTAACTTTAGCCTGTAACACGACTTCTTGAGTCTCAGTTTACTCATATGTCCAATGAAGCCTAGATTAGAAGATATCTAATGTTCAATTAGGTCAAATAATCAGAGATCATTTTATGAATAATTACATTTGCACGCATGTATTGTGTGCTTAAACTGCTTGTTCTCTGCATGTCTCTTTTCATGTCCACTTTGCTTTTCCAATTACTTTTGCCTGCTCTTATGGTAATACAGACTGTATTTCCATTAGAATATAAAATATAGATGATCATATTTTCCAGTGTTCAATCATCATCTACCAACCATTCCTAAATCTATGTAAAGCAATGGTTTGCACTTATTATAAGTAAATATTTTAATAAGTTTAAAGTAGCCATGTCATCTATAATAATTAGATTGAGTAACATTAGCTATTTTATTTGATTTAAATACACATACTATGTTTAGAACATAAGTGCTTATAAAATCTTATTTTGTCTAATTTTGATATTTTTATTCATGATAAGGGACTGTTACTTGTAGTCTAGTAAATAGGAAGATGATTTAAAAGTTTAATGTGAACAGCACATAATAGCAAATCTGACAGATCATTTTTTAATTTTTATTTATTTGTTTATTTTTAATTGAAACATAATTGATTATACATATTCATGGATGACAGAGTTGACTATCAGTATTTGCATACAATATGTGATGATAAAACTAAGAATTGTTAGCATGTTCACCATTGCAAATTGTAATCACTGTGTCCATTACCCACTTTCTTCCTAATTCCCCTCCCACTCCCCTTTTCCTACCACTAGTAACCATAGTTCTGTTCTCTCCTTCTGTAAGTTCAACATATTATTGTGGCCCCTTCCTTCCTTTCTTCCTTTTGTCCTTCCTTCCTTTCCTTCTTTCTTTCCTTCTTTCTTTTTCTCTCTCTCTTTCTTTCCTCCCACTTATGAGGGAGGACATGTGGTATTTCTCTTTCTGTGCCTGGCTTATTTTGCTCAACATAATTTTCTCCAAGCTCATCCAGGTTGCTAGGAATGGCAGAATTTCATTCTTTTTTATGGCAAAATAGTATTCCATGGTGTAGATATACCACATTTTCCTTTTCCAATCATCCATTGATGGACATTTAGGTTGATCCCATTTCCTGGCTATTGTAAATACAGCTGTGATGAACATGGGATCAATATTTCTCAAAAGAAGACCAAATAGGCATTTCTCAAAGGAAGATACACAAATGGCCAACAGGTACATGAAAAAATGCTCAACATCGCTAATCATCAGGGAAATGCAAATCAAAACCACATTGAAATATCATCTCACACAAGGTAAACTGGCTATTATAAAATGACAGAGAATAACAAATACTGTTGAGGATGGTAGAGAAAACTCTTCTACACTGTTGGTGGGACTGTAAATTAGTACAGTAATTACAGAAAACAGTATGGAGGTTTCTCAAACAACTACAGATCGAATTGCCACATGATCCCAGAATCCTACTTCTGGGTACATACCCAAAAGAATGGAAATCATTTGTTGAAAGATACCTACACTGAGAGATTATCTTTGAACATTTTTCTTTATTTGTTCTGTGGGAATTAGCATCAGAATGAACAATCTTTTAAGGTGTTTTGAACGTAACAGTGTTAACTGTAGTAGAAATGAGTCTTTCTAACTTTCCCAGCCTGTAAAAGACTGAGTAGAAAATTGAGTATGAAACTAGCTCTGTAGGAGAGAAAGGAAAAAACAAAACTAAACTAATGGATACCATTTGTATGGGGAAGAATGAACTTTAGTGATTGCAAAAATATAAAGAAAAAACGTGAAAGAGAATATGAAAAAAATTCAGTTATAGATCTCAATTAACTCAGATTCAGACATTGTCATTCAGCTGACTAGCATCAGAGAACGTTCATGCCATCTCCTTTCCCATCTTTGTAGACGTGGCAGAATAATTAGAATGGTCAGAGAAACGAATGAGTATGAAGTTTAATAAGACATGAAATGTGAAAATGATATATTTTTCTCTATTGCTATAAGTTGTCGGTTGAAGCACAAGTCTACATTTTCTGAGAAGTGTTCTTAAGTGAACGGAATATCTTCAAATAAAACCCACCTGCATTTCCAAGAGAACAAACAAACTGAGGCTCCACAATTTATTTATCAATTTTACTTTGAAAGGATTCTACATACTCGAAAATGCTAGAAACTGTTGCTCTAAATAGACAAAGTAATATATTTTTATGGTGGGTAGCATTGCTTTAAAACTTATTTATAAATGTTACTAGTTTGGTGGAAGATAAATGTCTATTAATAGCTTGAGAAACAAGGTAAATTTCATATACATTAAAAGCTGGATAAACTCATATTTTTCTTTGTCAGAAAATGGCTTTCTAACTTCTAGCTGGATATTTTCCTTACAATCGTAACATTTATTTTTTTCCAGTTGTTGTTGACACAGAAACAAGATATCTTCTCTGGCACATTAGTGGATAAAAAAATAAAATCAAACAAGAGAACAAACAGTAGATGAAGAGGTTGATAACTGTTGGAACATAGTTACTGAAGAAAACAACAGCTCAGAACAAAAGAAGTAATTCCTTCAATAAGAGCCATGAATGACTTACAGAGGAATAGAACATGCAAACAGCAATACACATGAACATGAACTAAATGTGAAACAAACAGTGAACAAGGTACAGAAGAAACCCAAGAGCGCTGGAACAATCAGAAGAAATGTTACATGCAAGTAGAATGTAAACACTGTAGATCTGTGGTTTTCTATATGACTTTCTAGTTTTCTTTCTCTCTTTTTCATTAGGGGTAAAGAAAAGTAAAATGATAGACGTTTGAAAGGAAAAAAGGCTACCTGCTGCGATTACTTGAAAATTCCTCTATCTCAGCCATTCAGAGAAATGGCACTGTCCCCTCAGTGCTTTTGTCTCATCCACAGCTGTTTAGAAACTAGAGTAGAGTGACCAGGTTGTCCCCCAGCTAGCATCTGCTTCATATCATTTAGATTCCAGCTGAACTATTTTCAAAAGCTCTCCTTTCTCTTCCTTTGAAGAGAAGATTTCTTTTTGACAAGTAGAAATCTTCATATTCAGGGAATATTATCCAACTGAAACTGCCTGGTGATACAGCAGATCTTTTGTTTGCTGATGGGAAATGAACAATTGTGTTGCAGAATTATATAATGGGCTCCATCTAATATTCTTAGGAATCTCTCTGGGTGCACCCTAACAAGTTGCATTGGGGTCATTTATAAAGCTTTTCTAGGTAGCATAATTTGATTTTGATATTTGAAAAGAAAACAGCACTGTTATGTTGGTATAGATTTATAGCACTGAAGCATGTATCCAGGGAGCTGGGAAGCTGACAGCCTACAAGGGTAGATCAGTATAAAGGAGCAACAGTTGACCTGTAGAAGGAGGGGGAAGAACTGTTTCCTGTCTCTAAATAAATCTAGTTTCTATATAACATCCTTAGCTCTGACATTGAGTGTAAGTTTTCAGATTTCTTGGGTTCAAAGTTTACCTGAGTCAACTACTGGTTGTGGGATCATGGGCAAATATCACCTCTCTGCTTGATTCATCATGAGTGAAGTGGAGATAATAGTAACTATCTCATAGAATTGTTGCATAGAATCACATAGAATAAATGAGATAATACATGCAAAGCATTTCTAACTGCACCAGGCACATAGAAAGCACTCAGTTACATTTGAGCTTTGATTGTTATTGTTTCTATTGAGATTTACTATTTTTACGTATGATATATTCTATGATTGCATCTACAAAGGCACTGTAACAGTTTAAGCAAATCATTCTGAAATTTTTATTAAATTACACATCTTGTCTCCATTATTTAAGTAAAATTAAAATTAAATTTATTTTTATGGTAGTGATGAGATAGAGCTGTCATTCAAACCTGGTATTTTCCAAGTCCATCTATCTGTACAGCTTCAAATTTTGTACACCCTTGAGCTTCTTCAAAGATAATTACATTCACTGCTTCTAGTTCTACCAGTATATGACAAAGTAAAATACTGAATCACAAAGTCACATTCTAATCCTTCAGTGGGGTTACAATTTTTATTTTTTTAGTATAAAAAGTAATGTCTTAATTTATTAGTTCTCTTTGTGCTGTCAGAAGAGAGGCCAGATCCCTTAGTATGAATGTATTGCTCATATAAATGTATTGGATTAATTATGTACCCCCCAAGCTCACTGAAGCTTGAATTGTGTCCCCCAAGTTTTATGTATTAGAAATTTGGCCCTCACTGTAACTGTTAAGAGGGTAGGAAATCCAATTATGGTAATTGAAAGGTGGGGCCTTGAAGAGGCTATTACATTGTAGGACCCTGCTGTAGTGAATGGGTTAATAATGGTGGTCAGGGGTGTGGTTCTGAGGGCTTTAAAAGAAGAGAGAATAGTTTGTCTCTCTCTCTACTATCTCTCTGCTCCACCATTTTCACAATGTGATACCCTGCCATCACTGTCAACACCACCAAGGACTTCACCAAACCTGTTCCCTGGACTTTAGACTTCCCAGCCTAAGAAAATGTAAGCAATACATTTCATTTTCTATACAAATTATCAAGTTCCATGTATTTTGTTATAAGCAACACAAACAGACCAATACATAAATTGATTCTGATTCCATGGTGGTAAGAAATGTTTAAGAACCTTAGGAGATGTTAATGTGTGGTATTACCTTTCCTGTACATTTATGTACTCTTTCAAAGCTTGCCTTGAAACTCTTCATCACTAAATCCACTGATTTCTTCTCAATCACCATACTATTCAAATTTCCTCCATAATTTTACACTGTTCACTAACATCTATACTTGCAAGTTCTGTCTCCACTGCCTTCTAAGACACTAACC